CCTCTGATTTGCAGCATCAGTATGCCACATGGACACCGATTCATGCTCTGGCTGCTCCTCTTCTCACCCAGCTCTCTATTTACGATGGCCTGGGAAGGCAGCAGAGTGTGGCCCCAGTCCTTGGAACCCTGCACCCATGCGGGAGACCCAGAGGAAGCTTCGGGCTCCTGGCTTTGGATCAGCTCAGCTCCAGCCATTGTGGACATTTCAGGAGGGAACCAGCAGATAGAAGACCTCTCTCTCTCTGTCTCTAGTCTCTGTTAAAAAAAAAAAAAAATCTGGCTTTCTGACAAAAATAAATAAAAGCTTTTTTAAAAGTCACAGTAAAATACGAAGAAACTCAAAGGTGACATGAATTTAAAACAATTGGTGATGGATGGGAAGAACAAATCCAGCTGTCTTTGGTGACAGACATTGTCCCTTTCTATTGGCTTGGGATTCCCAACACCAGGGCCCGGCATAGTAGCCTAGTGCCTAAAGTCTTGACTTTGCATGTACCGGGATCCCACATAGACGCTAGTTCCAATCCTGGCTGCTCCATTTCCCATCCATCCTCCTGCTTGTGGCCTGGGAAAGCAGTCGAGGATGACCCAAAGCCTTGGGACCCTGCACCTATGTGGGACACCCAGAAGAAGCTCCTGGTTCCTGGCTTCAGATATGCTCAGCTCTGGCCATTGCGGCTACTTGGGGAATGAACCAGAGGACAGAATGTCTTTCTCTGTCTCTCCTTCTCTCTGTAAATTTACCCTTCCAATAAAAACAAAAGAAAGAAAGAAAGAAAGAAAGAAAGAAAGAAAGAAAGAAAGAAAGAAAGAAAGAAAGAAAGAAAGAAAGAAAGAAAGAAAGAAAAAATGCCAACAGTAATTATGGAAAGGTGGCCTGTGGATTTCCAATTTTAAGATTCCTTTGTAAATAAGGCTAACTGTTAGAAGTTCCAGGCTGTGACAATGTTAAGGGGTCACTCACTGTTAAAACAAGTGAATGGCAGAACTGGTGGGGATCCAAATGCTATCATAAATTGAAGTAGCCAGAAAAATAAACCTCAAAGGTCACCTAACAGAGAAGCTTCAAACTTGGAAGGAGAAGAAAACATGTTTAAGCAGTCTTTTTACTCGCACGTTATGAATTAAAAGGTGATCAATCATGCGGGGAGGGCATGGGGAGGGCATGGGGAGGGCATGGGGAGGGCATGGGGAGGGGTTGGGGGAATCCCAGAGCCTATGAAACTGTGTCATAAAACTAAATTTTAAAAATATATTAAAAAATTAAAATAATAAATCTATAAGATAAAAACAAAGGTGATCAATCAAAAAACCACAGTAAAACATACGACTTAGGGCTAAGAAGGTAATCACCTAAGAATCAAAGACAAAAGCAATGAAAACAGAACAGCACAGCACCACACAACACAGCAAAGCTAAACTGGCCCTCGGTGAGCCTGCAGGTGAAGGAGATGACGGAAAGCATTGCTTTTCCACCCAAGTCCTTCTACACAATTGGATGTTACCAAGCCCACACACTTTGTTGACAAAACAATTCTCTATCATACATTTCAGAAAATGCAAAACACAAAAATGCAGGGGTATCAGCCAAATGCATTTTTTCTTAAGGAACTGCTATTCAAATGTAAGTTTCCTGTACAGAATGTTTGTAGAGAGAATGAAGGTGGACAATTCAGGGGTCAGCACCTTGACACGAAGCTTCTGCCTGCAGCACCAGCATCCCGTATGGGCGCTAGTTCAGGTCCTGGTTGCTCTACTTCAGATCCAGCCCCTTGCTAATGGGCCTGGGAAGGCAGCAGAGGAAGGCCCAAGACTTTGGGCCCTGTACCCATGTAGGAGATGGGGAAAATCCTGGTTCCTGCTGTTGGACCAGCTCAACCCTAGCCCTTGCAGTCATTTGAAGGGTGAACCAGCAGATGAAAGCGTTCCCTCTCTCTTTGCAAATCTGCCCTTCAAATAAAAGAATAGAAACTGAATGTCATCAAGGTGAAAAGTCAGTAAGCCAGGCTGGGGAGAGCTGCTGTTACATATTACTTTAAGGAAATGTCTGAACACCACACAAAAGGTGAGAATACTCCAAGACGGTAACTTTTAGGAGGTCCCAGGAAGTGCATAAAAAGTCTCACCTGAGAAAACAACAAAAGACTTTGGAAAACTTCTCAGATGCCCACACTCCGTTTGCCATGAAGCTTAGTTTAGGGCAGTGAGAAGAGAAAAAGGAGGAGGAGGGAAGCAAAACTGCCATGCTACAGACTAATAATGAAAACAGACAAGAGGTCTAGTCCAGGACCTATCACATGCCTTTACCAAAGTCAAGTTCTCATCCTTTCCTTGGCCTTATTTTATTTTTTAGCCAAAAAAAAAAAAAACAAAAAAAACACGCAAACAAAAAAGTGAAATTGTCCCCATCAACCCTAAAGTCCTTCTTTTGTTTTGTTTTTTTTAACATTTATTTTTTACTTTCATTAGAAAGTCAGATATACAAGAAGAAAAGAGAAAGAGCTTTCATCCGCTGGTTCACACCCTAAGTGGCCACAATGGCCAGAACTATGCCGATCCAAAGCCAGGAGCCAGGAGCCTCCTCCAGGTCTCCCAAAGGAGTACAGAGTCCCAAGGCTTTGGGCCATCCTCTGCTGCTTTCCCCAAGGCCACAAGCAGGGAGCTGCATGGGAAGTGGGACTGCCGGGGTTAGAACCAGCACCCATATGGGATCCTGGTGCGTGCCAGGCAAGGACTTTAGCCGCCGGGCTACCATGCCAGGCACCTTTTTTTTTTTTAATTATTTACATAAAGCCCTCAACTCCCCCCGAAAATTCTTCTGCTGACTATACATCATAGATGATAGAAGCAAACACACAGATCTGTAACTCTAACATGTTACATATAACATATAACATTAATCTTATTCCAGCTTCAAACAAAGCTACAGAAACAAAAAAAACTTCAGAGAATTTTTGGCAGGTTATTTATTCTGAAAGACAATGGTCAAGATGACTTAATTGCTTAAATTCTGTAAGTTATTTGGCAAAAACGATCTCCAGGGACTGTTATCGGCTTAGGCCAATGGACTATGAACACATTTTCTTCAGCTGTCATTTTTTTTTTTGGCCATCCGAAGTGAAATCAAGATACCCTCCAGTTTGGGTTGGAAAACAGTTGTGGTTGACAACAACTCGCTCCCAATCCAACACTACCGTTTTTTGCCCTGATTCACAAGTAGTTCTGAACTCCTCCAGTCATTCAAAGCGCACTTACAAAAGGAATTTTCTGTTTTGTTTTTGTTTGGACGACTTTTTCCTCTAGCTTTGTAGATATTAGGCAAGTACAGCTCTCGTTTCATGTTTCTAATAATCGCAGTTACAATGAACACAGACCATATGTGTGCACCCCCTATATTTACTTTCCTTCTATTTCTATAAAAGTTACAATAAAATAAGCAAAATCGCATTTCCCTAAGAAATGTTCCCACGTGCTCCTAGTTTCTGTGGATTAGCACACTATTACAGGCATCACTGTCATCCTTGGGAACAGCATGAGACTTAGCAAAATGTCATGTCATGACATCACAAGCTAGACTTCCATTAGCTGTTGGGAAGTCAAGAGCACGCTCAAGCCCAGGCAAGACCAGCTAGCTGTGGAAGAAAGAAAAGGCCATCAGGGCTGTTTCCAGACTTCAGCATTGCAGCAACCCCAGAAACAAACACGAAGCTGCAGAAGTCGGCAAACAGCTTAAGGAGGGGTAAGGAATCAAAGGCCATCCCCATTCTGAACTCAGGATCTGGCTGTCGGAAGCCTCATCTGCCACTGCTCGTGCACAGAGCCCTGCCCTAGCAATCAGAGCACCACACACTGGTGCCAAAGAAACGCTTGAATGGTATTTCTAAGTAGGTCATCATGGTTTAGAATAAATTTTGAACTACGACTCCTCCATCAAAGTCATGCAGGCTTTTTAAGTGAATTGTAAGGCAATTCCTGGAAGAGGAGTTTTTCAGACTGGGAGAAGAGTGCCAGCCAAGTTCAGGCAATCCTGAACCGAGCGGTCCAGCTGGCACCATGTCCCTCCAGGCCTTTGATAACCTGACCCCCTATGACCTCACTAGTTACATTTCAAGTTGCAACTTGGTTTCTTCTGGGAGGGGAGGGGGAATGCAATTATCTTACGGTACCACCAGGGAAACAATACCCTCCAGTGTTTGCGAATATATTTTCCTGCAGGCTCTAATTAGAAAATTTGAACCTGACTTCCACTGCATTAGGTCTCAAAGCTGGGGCAGAAGCAGCAGGCTCCCTGTGTGACTGATGCGACACTATTTTAGGTTACCAAGTGGCAACGGAATAAAACTCCTGACCCAATTTCCACACAATTGATTAGGCCAGCCCAGGGCTACTTCGCCTCAGCCGCCAATTACATCACTGCGAGCTGTGCGGTCATTACGGTCATTACCTCACCCTCATGGGGTGCTACACCGTAAACTGCTGCCTTCTCCAGCTGGTCTCCCCTCAGAAGCTACCTGCCCTAATCACCTGGCCTTGCGACAGCCCTGCGTTGCCCCTGGGCCTCAAGACTCACACAGCCCACAGGATCAGGCTCCCTCAGGCAAGGCGTGAGGGGCCTGTGTCCAGGGATCTGTTCCAAGCCTCCAAATTCGGGGCCAAGTTAGATGTATCTCCCCCCCCCCCCCCCCCCCCGGAAATCTCCCCTCTCCAAACTCCTCTCCTTCCCACCACACACACACACACACACACACACACACACACACACACACACGGGACTTGCAGGAACCCTGGAGAGTTTTGCTTCTAATCCCTTACAATTTCCACAGCCGGAGACTCATTCTCCACATCCAGCCTTAGGAGTTTGTAGCGAGGCGCGGTGGGCCAAGATGTGTGGAAGGACACGCACAATCTTCCACTCAACAGCGCGCGCGCGCCGGCGCTGTGGACACGGTACCCATCGCCGCCCTCTCCCCGCCATCCCTCGGCTCGGGGCTGACTTACTTGAGAAAGTACCTCTGGCCAGTGGCCGTGAAGGCCATCTCCCAGCCCGGGGGCAGCGGCGGCTCCTCGGTCAAGTCGTAAGATCGCTGGCAGTAGTGTACATGCTGAGGCGCCGGGCTGGCCGCAGCGCCCGCGCCGGTGCCCAGCTGCAGGGACGCGGGCGACGAATGCGAGCGGACGTGCTGGGCGCCGCCGGGCAGCCGGGGCCCCGGGTGGCCGGCGGACGAGTCGGTGCTGGACTGGCGGGAGTGCGAGCCCGAATCTGGCTCCTTGAAGAAAGACTCGGGCAGGATCTTCTTCCGCCAGGAGCTGGGCTTGGGGTTCATGACCGAATTGAAGAGGGCTTTAAGGTCTGTGTCGAGGTCCTGCGTGACGTGGATCACTTGCTGCCCGGGCGGCGGGAGCGGAGGGGGTGCCGAGGCTGGATTCATCTTCTGCAAAGAGAAGAGAGGTCAGCCTCTGAGTGGGGGAGTTGCAGGACAGGCCGGAGTTCGAAGGGAGAAGCAAAGAAATCGCCAAGACGGCTAGGTGTGAGCCTCGGGTTCCCAGACACTCCGTGGTCGCCCGGCCAGGTGGGGGAGGGGTCCCTCCTGACCTCGGGAATTATGCAACTTTCTTGAAGCAAAGAAGTTACCGGGAATAGGAGAAGGGAAGACGGGGGAGGGTGGTGGGGTGACGAGTGCGGACGTTGCTGCGCTGCGGGTGGCAGAGGACAGGTCGCAGCTTTCCGGGGCAAGCAGCCCACCTTCCTCCAGCACTAACCCCCCCCCCACCCACCACCCCGTGAGGTCTCACCCCGAGCCAACCCCACGACGACCCGATCCCGGAAGGCCGACGAGTCTCTGGACCCGTGCCGGGTGAGCGGGCGCGATCCAGCGGGTACTACCTGGGCGCGCAGCGAAGCCGAGCCCGAGTGCGCTGGCGGCCGCCGTCCGGCCCGAACTTGCAGTGTGGCCTCGGTCGCCCGGTGCGTCCCGAGCTGGTGGCGCTGGGGCCGGGACCTGACTGCCAAATCCCGAGCCGATCCGGTGCTTGGCAAGCCGATGGAGGCTTGGGCTCTCACATCCCCCGAGCTGGCTTCAGAAGGAGGCGGCGGAGAAGCAGACAGCGCGGCCGCAGCGGCTCCGGGACTGTCCCATAAACAAAGTTTGGAGCAAACTCCCACCCCTAGGAAAGAGGCGGGCCCGAAAGTTGAGCTGTTGAATTATGCATGACCTTCGAGTCCGGAGCCTGCCCGCCTGCCCCCGCTCGCCCCACCTCTTCCTCCTCCTCCCACCCCCGGCTCCAGAAACCCCTGGGCGTGTTGAGTACTTCACAGGGTAAGAGGAGAAGGGTGCCCCCCCCACCCACTCCTCCCGGCCGCGCGGACCTCTCCCGCAGAGCCCGGGATCTGCATTCCTTTGAGTTTACCTCCGACTTGGGGCGGGATCAAAGGGAAAGTGACCCGGGCCTGTTTAATCAAGGGGTTGTGCACCGAAACCCAGGCTGGGGGTGGCGAAGGACGCGCGTGTGCGGGGGCCCTGGTCGGGGAAGAGCCGGCCTCGGGCGCTGCGCCTTCCTCCTGGAGCCCGGCGCCGAGGCCTGCAGCGCCCGGAGCGCCGCGCTGCCCCACGGGTCTGCCCGAGGGCGGGCCGGGGTACGCCCCGGCGCGGGGAGACTCCAACAAGGCCGGCCTTTCCACGAGAGGCCGCTTAGAACGAGCGCTTCTGACCATATTTGGTCTGGCGAGGAGGCAACTTGGCCGCCCCGCTGCTAATTGTCTGCTAGAGTGCGGACCGTGCCCAAAAAGCGCCTCCGTCGTTGGAAACTCAGTTTGGCCTACGGGTGCGTTGGAAACTACTCCAAACCATGCCTGGGTCCTCCGTTGCTTCTAAGGTGTGACTCGGGCCACGAGGGGCTGAGGAGAAAAGCGGGTCAAAGCCGGGTGCAGCCGGCCGAGAGCAATTGCGCCCCCCTCCCCTGTGACATCCGCACGGTTGTGGGAGGATTGGAATGTCCTCGACGCCCTCCAGGGAGCCAGGTCCTGGGATGGAACCCGAGCAGGTGGCTGCAAGAAGGCAGGGTGCGCCGGCGACCCGGAAAAAGCCACCCACCCTTCCACGGACAGATCTGGGCGAGGGGTGGAGACCCCCTGCCTCTAGCCAGGGGAAGGTCAAGCCTGGTTGACAGCTGCGGGGAAGTAGGAGGCGATCCCGCCCTCCCGAGCAGCTTAATTCCTTTGCTCCCTGCCCCCACTTCTCTGCGGCCGAAAAAGGGAGGGAGGGAGGCTGGCTGGGTGGCCCCGGTGGCCCTGAGGTAGGTTCCAGGAAGCCCCCACCCCGGTGCTTCAAATAGAAGTTGGTTAAAGAAACAGAATGAGGCAATATATATAAAACACTGCACAGCAGCAGGCTGGCTACCGAAGTAGTAGTTAAGTAAAATTAAAATGTGTTCAGTTCGAGCATTGTAACAACGTTTTTATAACTGTGAAAGGCTAAAATCCTCCGCTTGCACGCACCGGGATCCCGTATGGGCACAGGTTCATATCCCAGCTGCTCCACTTCCTTTCTACTTCCTGCTTGTGGTCTGGAAAAGCAGCAGAGCATGGCTCAAAGCCTTGGGACCCTACACCTACTGGGAGACCTGGAGGAGGCTCCTGGCTCCTGGCTCCTGGCTTTAGATGAACTCAGCTCTGGCTGTTGCAGTCACTTGGCAAGTGAATCAACAGATGGAAGATCTTCTTCTCTGTGTCTCCTCCTCTCTGTATATCTACCTTTCCAATCAAAAATAAATAAATCTTAAAAGGAAAAATAGTGGATGATTCCAGAGACTTGCTGTTGCCCAACCTTTCCAACAACAGCGTCAGTTTAACTAATATCTGCCTGGTCCCAGTGTTATGGTACGGCTGATTATGCACCTGCCTGTGACACAGGCTTCCCGCATCAGAGCACCAACCGGAGTCCCACTTACTTCACCTCCTATTCCGCTTCCTACGAGTTTTCCTAGGAAAACAGCAAAAGATGGCCAAAGTCCTTGGGACTGCCCCATTCATATTGGAGACCAGATGCCCCTTTCAGAGACCAGTGTTGTGGTATAACAGGTTAAGCTGCCGTCTCATACAGATGCTGGCTTGAGATCCTGCTGCTCTGCTTTGATCTCAGTTTGTGCCAATGCACCTGGGGAAGCAGCAACAGACGATGGAGACCTAAAAAGCCTGTGTTCCCCCCTCTCTGTAACTATCTCTTTTTTTTAAGATTTTTTTTGTAATTTTTATTGGAAAGTCAGATATACAGAAAGGAGGAGAGATAGAAAGATCCTCGGTCCGTTGATTCCCTCCCCAAGTGGCCCCAACGGCCGGAGTAGCACTGATCTGAAGCCAGAAGCCTCTTCTAGATCTCCCACGTGGGTACAGGATCCCAAGTTTTTGGGCCATCCCTGACTGCTTTCCCAAGCTACAAGCAGGGAGCTGGATGGGAAGTGTGGCTACCGAGATTAGAACAGGCACCCATATGGGATCTCGGGCGTGTGTGCAAGGTGGGGACTTTCACCACTAGGCTGCTGTGCCAGGCCCAGCAAACTTTCAAATAAATAAAAATAAACCTGGGCTGATGATGGGAACAGTGCTGGGTTCACCATACTCCAGAATCTACGTTAAAACACCATGCAAGGGGCCAGCATGCAGTGGGTCAAGCCACCGCTTCTTCCAGTATTTGGGGTTCTGGTTGGAGTCCTGGCTGCTCCATTTCCCATCTGGTTTCCTGCTAAGTCGCCTGAAAGGATGGCCCAGCCATGACTGTTCCAGCCATCCAGGGAGTTGAACCAGCAAATGAAAGCTGTCTGTCTCTCTCCTCACCTCTCTCTCATTCTGCCTTTCAAATAAATAAATCTTAAAAAAAAAAAAAAAAGGGAAAAAGAAAGCCCGCTATCCAAAATCTTATGTTTCTGGCACTATGTTCCACGCTGGGCAAGAAGTGGACCCTTCTTTAAGGGTCACCATTTATTCATTAACACATTGGAATGGTGCAATGATAGTCTGTTATTTTGCTGCCCTGTGTGGGCCGGCTTCCTGCTATTCAAGCTCTCACAAACCTAGTCTCTTCCATTTAAATCTGCACCGGGCCAGTGACCTACCTTCACCAGGGAAAAGTACCAATGAAACCCTCTAATTCCTCTTCCCCATCCCACCTCCAGGAAGGTGTCCCCGTTTCTGACTTTGCATTTTGGGGTAGCTAGCCCAGCAGTTCTGTGGAAGAAGCCATGTGAGAAAAGAGCACAACCTCAGAGCCCACCTGGGTTGTGGCATTGTAAGCCAATAAAATGGATGTTGTGTTAGACCGCTACATTCCAGAAAGGTTTTACATGCAGAAGGTTCATTGTAACGGGTAAATGGGAAAGTCCAAATCATATTTTCTCCAAAAGTTATTTATTTAGACATTTATTTATTTACTCAAAAGACAGAGCACTGGCGAGAAGGAGAGCCTCTAACTTCTGGTTCACTCTGCTAATGGCTCCAACAATTAGGTGTAGGCCAGGCCCAAGCCAGGAATCAAGAACTCCATCTGGGTCACCCCAAGGGTGACAGGGGCCCAAATAGTCCATCCACAGTAGCTAAAGCTGGATCAGAGGAAGGATGCCAAGACTAGAACCAGCACTCTGATCTGGGGAAGCAGCAGCTTACCCTCTACCACGATACTGGCTCCCCAAATAATACTGTTAACACAAAGCTTACTGCGTGCTAAAGCACTCCATAAATAATGGCTGTTACCAAAGTCTCATGGAAACCCAAAGAATCAACAAGGCATGAGTAGATCCCGTTTTTTTCAGAGAGGGAAACTGTCCCAGCGATTTTTATGCAAGTACATACGATGAAACCCTGGCAGGAGGGGAGGAGTGGGCTTCAGCCCAGGCTTTGCCTTCCTATCTCCTGCAGAAATCGACAGTTTCGGTAAGATATCAGATGAGACTACACTCCTGTAAATATGGAGATTTTTCCATTTGCAAATGCTTCCCAGGAGAAGTTTACCCCCATCCTCCCCTTAACACTCTTCTATTGAATCTTTCCTTGTCGCACTGCCTCACTCCTCCCTCTCTGTCACATCCAATCAGCGACAAGTGCTAGGCTGCTGTCCCTCAGATCCTCCCAGCCGCTCCTATTCCCACAACAGAAGCTTATCTGAAAACGTTCCCAGTTGCCTGCGAACTAGTTTCTCTGCCTCCAGTCTCCTGTCACTTGCGTCCTATTGTCATGATGTCATTCTTTGGCTCAGAAACTTGTTAACAGCTGCCCAGAGAACAAAGGTAAAGGTCATAGCTCTCAGTCCAACACGCAAGATCTCCCAACCAACTGCCGTGCCCCGGAGCTTTGGGAACTTGACTCATACATGCCCCCATAAAAATGCCTTCTAACCATTCCAGCTAAATTTTGACCCAGGTTTATTTGATCTGGCCTTTGACCATACTTTTATTTTGTGAACTCTGCTCAAAATGACCCTCCAAGCTCAATCGCCAAATTTTCATTTTATTTCTCCCTTCTTTCTCTTAAATTCACATGGTTCTGGGCCTGGTGCAGTATCCTAGTGGCTAAAGTCCTCACCTTACACGTGCCAAGATTCCACATGGGCACAGGTTCATATCCCAGCTACTTCACTTCCCTTCCAGCTCCCTGCTTGTGGCCTGGGAAAGCAGCAGAGCACGGCTCAAATCCTTGGGACCCTACACCTATGTGGGAGACCTGGAAGAGGCTCCAGGCTCCTGGCTTTAGATCAGCTCAGCTCTGGCTGTTGCAGCTGCATGGGGAGTGAATCAACAGATGGAAGATCTTCCTCTCTATCTCTCCTCTTCTCTGTATATCTGACTTGCAAAAAAATTAAATTTAAAAATCGACAAATTCATTTTAAAAATTCTCCTGGTTCTTAATCTTTTTCATTCCTTTGAGATATAATCAAACAGAACGTTACCTTATGTTGCAGGTTAAGGTTAACCTCAGAATAACTGGCCCTTCAGCTAGCAAACAGTCAGTAGATGAGGGGCTTGGAAGCATTTTATGTTTCTTTATGAGCTTGCTGCTGAGAGGCCTCAACCCCTTGGCGGTTCACCCA